ACAAAATTTTTTTTTTTAAGAGGGGGCAAAATACTTAAAATATTTCAAAATATCCTTTTTAAAATAAAAAAATAAAAAAAAAAATTTTAGCGTGGGCATTTGCCCCCCCCCCCCTCACTACTATGGGGATCCGCCCATGCTTGTCCTTTTTTTTTTACCCATGCTTGTCCTTAATTCACGAGCTCGATTCCTTAAACAAATTTATAACTCAAAGCATATTTTCTTTCCTTCTCATCTTTCCTTACAAATGGACCCTTCTGCAAGTGTTCATAACCTGTTGAATGCAAACAATGAGATTCACCATTGTTACATTGATCATGTTCTTAACAACATCTTTGAAGAATCTAACGTGTATTTTCAAAACAAATACTTGAAAGCTCTCAAAGCTTATTTACCCGAACAAGCGAAGATGAGTTCGGTATCCATTACTTTCATGAATGATGTTGGTCAGATTAATTCTACAAGGAAAAAAGCCGCAATGTGAAAATTTAGGCTTCGTTTGGGATGATTTTTTTACCGCTTCTTAAAGCAGCTTTTTAGTAAAAAAATTAAATTTGTCATACTAGAATGATGTTTTAAGAATCAACAAGAAAGTCGTCTCAAATGAAGCCTTAAGCTTGATTTGAAACGACTTTCTTATTGCTTTCTAAATCAATTTTATAGTAAAAAAAATTTGAAATAGAAATTTTTGTACTAAAAATTTACTTTTGAAAGCATTAAGAAAGCAGTCACCCTAAACGAAACCTTAGTGATGTGAAGAATAGTTTTATCAGCCATTTTGTTAAGGCTCCAATGAGTCGAGCTCTCAACCTGTTGTAGAACTGGCAATAGGGTATTAACATAAAGTTGCCCTCTTCAACATTTAAAATGAAAATATTATATATGTTGCATTTTTGTTCTGTTGAACCTCATATGGTATGCCCTCAATGAGAAGATCTTGTAGCCAAGCCTTTCCTTTATTATAAGAATCAATATTGGATGTTAAGTGTTACAGACCAAAAAAAAAAAAAAGCAAATAGAATAACCCTTTTATATATATTATGTAAAAAAGGGGACTTTAAAGCAACTGTACAAATTAGGGATGTAAGTGAGCCGGCTCAAGCTGGACTCGTTATCAAGCTCACGAGTTGAGTTTATCGAGTCATGAGTTAAAGCTCGAGCTCGTATATTAATGAGCTCAAACTCGAGCTCGGCCATGGTCGGCTGGAAAGCTCGTTAAACCACTCAATTAACTTAAGATATATTAAAAATTTAATTTAAATTAGCATTATATATTATATTTTTATATTTTTAAATTAATTCTATATTGAAAATAAGAATTCTAAAAAAACTCTATTTGTTAATTTAAAACTAAGATATCTAGCTAAACAATTGAGTAAAGTTAGAGCTGTCCAAATGAGATAGATAATCGAGCCAAGCTCTCGACCATATAAATTTTTTAGTGAGTCCAACTCAGGTTCGGTAAAAACTAAATAAATTTAATTCAATTAGGCATATACTTGACTAAACTTGACTTGTTTAAACCCCAAATAAAAACAATGGTAGGAAATGAGAAAAAAAATTCTTTTTGGACATCAAATTGAGAATTTTTAATGGATTGGTGTAGAAAAAAAGAAGAAAAAGAAAAGTATGAAGCACCTATATGTTATATCAATGCAGCCTTCAAAATAAGTTCATGGACATTAGCTTTTCAAGACCATTCAACTTGATACTTTTGACAAACAAAGCTATTACATTAAAATTTTCCTTTAAGGATTGAAAATGACTATGCAAAGTATGTCAAATTGGGTATTCTGATTAATGAAGCTCCACTTTATTCATATTTGATCGGGCTTGTCAAAACGAAACTTAGGCTTTGTTTGGTACGGCTTTCTAGTTGCTTGTTAAAGCAGTTTTCTAGTATAAAATTTTTTATTTTAAATTGAAATGCTGCTTTAAAAACTAACAAAAAAAAAAAAAAACTTCTCAAACAAAGCCTAAATCTTTTGGTATGCCAGTTATGGACGTTCCTGTCGTCCGATCGTTTTTAAACTTAGGCTTAAAAACTACGTTGTTTTTTAAACTTAGGCTTAAAAACTAAAAAAAAAAAAAAAAAAAAGCTTAAGTTATGGACGTTCATAACTGGCATAACGTTCATAACTTTTTTTTTTTTGTTAGTTTTTTAAACTTAGGCTTTGTTTGGTATGCCAGTTATGGACGTTCCTGCCGTCCGATCGTTCGGTCACGATCCATCTCTTGTCGCCCTGTCCATACTTCGCCATGGCCACTAGGGTCTCGAGATGTAGTGATGTAGTTACTTCGTGGGTTTCTAGATCGCAATCGCCATGTCCGTGGTCGCCATGTCCGTCCTGCTCGACGGCCTCAGGTGGAGCACATTGGAGGTGGATTGACGAGTCCGACGTCGGATCGAAAGGGATAGTTTCCCTGGACAGTTGATCGGGCAAGAGACGGCCGAAGCCACGCACGCGTCGGGTCGGCGAATCGGAGGCTGGGTGTGCGGGAGTCTGGTCGGCGGAGGCCTGGTCGGCTGATGTCGGCGACGTCGGAGTGGCGGCAGGTCGTCGGGGTTGGGAGTTTTGGAGGCCAGCGGGTTTGGCTTGAGCGGTGGTAGCGGCGGTTGTTTCATGTAGTGGATCGGCGGAAGTCGATACCTGCAAGAAGGATTTGAAAATTCCCAATCCAGGGAAGAAGAAGAAGAGAGCTTCACAAGCTTCAAAGAAATGTATATATCATTAAAATGCCTTTCTTCTTCTACAAGACCTCCTACTTATGAGAGCAAAAGAGTATTCTAGAACAAAATGGATAAAGTACTCCTAAGGACTATCCTAGCTTAAAATGCACCGCATCATTCTCCCCTAGCGTAAAAAGGCTCGACTCCGTCGAGACGCATTATTGAAAGAGAGGTTGTTGCAGAGGACAGATTCTTGGATTGAAGATTTTGTTCTCACTATTTCCGAAATTGGCAACTTTTCTCTCCATTGAAACCTCTGGTGCAGCAGTATCACCCTTGCCTGAAACTTTTTTCCAAACTTGCAATGCCTCCATCATGCTCTCTCACGAGTTTCACCTTATCAAAACAGCAAGCCTCAAGAGACTCAATTATAGGAGAAGTCACAATGGTAATCAAAGGACCATGTGTTGGTTCAAAGTTGCAGAGGCCGCGGATGAGAACATGGTGCGGGACAACATCCGTTGCAAATCCCATAAAAAAACTTGGTTCCAAATTTTAAGAGCAAGGTCAATTTTTTTATCTCGGCAGAGACCATCGATTAAAGCGCTGTAATGAGATCCTTTTATTTACTTATTATGTGCATATTCATGTTATGCAATAAATGAATAAGAAAGCATGCAGCAAGTCTAGTATGGATAATGAATATGAAAGGTGTACTGAATATCAATTTAAAAGTAAAGTTTGGCTAAAGATTTATGTATAACTTATCAATGCAGGTGGGGCAAAAGGGTCCCCATATATTAAATTATTTGATAAGTGGGGCAAAAGGGATCCCAAAGAAATGAAACATGCAAAACAGGTGGGGAAAAAGGGACCCCAAAGAGGCAAAAGGGACCTCTATGTAATTCAATGGCGATAATGTCAGGTTTATCTGGGCTCTATTAAATATGTTTATGAATGAGTAACCAAATCTTTTAATGAGTAAAATTAATATTCAGTATAAATGTAAGAGAAATTGATATGCAATGTTAAATGAAAATTTATGAAATTTGCTCAAGTACTTTAACTTTTATTTATATTTTTAATGATCTAAATTTTATAATCATATAATTTAAATATTATTTCAAGTTGCATCACTTATGGAATCTCATAGCTCACAAATAATTTATTTTACAGGATAGGAAAAGAGAAAGGATGAAGAAGATTAATCTGCAAATATTTACATTATATTTCAATGTTTAATCTATATTTTGAAATCTACTCTTGAGGTTAGTAAACAATTTTAATGTTGTAATACTTTGAATTGTTTTAGACTTCCTTAGTGGCTCTATACTAAGTCTTTGATGTGTTGAAAATTTGGAAACTATTAGATGCTTCCTTTGTTGTATTAAATGATGTTTATATGATTTTTTATTTAGATCTGAAAACAAATGAGTAGAAATGAGAGATAAATGTTGAAAATGTTATAGTTATTCTTGTTATACTCTAAAGTATTGTTATAGTGATACTATGGGTTGTTACACATCCTTTCTGGGCAGTGTATAATAAGAATCAACCGTTGAGAAATTCCCCAAACTGTAGGTCTTTATAGATAAGCCATATCTGTGCGAAAAACATTAAGTAGAGACCTCAGTAAATACCAAAAATTGAGCAAAAAATGTATAATATGGAACACTGAAGGGTGCAGCATTCATGGAACTTCCCATATAGGAAACATCAGATAGCTTTGACACGCAATACGGCAGATAAAAAAAAAATAATAATAATAATAAAACAGATATTGATTTAGAAGGAATGAACATTGGAAGTCCACAGAAATCTGCATTAAGTAAACCCAGAAGGAAAATGATTCATGGTGGTTCCCTAATTTGCTAAATCTTGAATAATATCATGTCATCCAATTTCCTCAAAAGATAATGTGGCGATTAATTATTCTGTGCAGATGCCGAACGCCGTCTGGAAACCAACTAGAATGTGCCACGTCAGCTTTTCGCTCGGTATTGCGGCTCGGCACTACTCGGTACCACTAACATGACACATTCTAATTGATCTCCGGACGATGTTATGCACCCAGTCTCCACACATAATGATTTCTCGTATTATTCCAGATAATGTTCAAGGAACTTAACTTGTTTGGTTCAAGGAGAAAAATAAAAGCAGCGTCAATCTGAGTTCTCTCCAAATGCTTGAGTTATTGCAGGATAGATTCTCTCATTTTAGCTTTTCTTAACTGCATTGACTGTTAAATTTTACCAATCTAATGGTACGGAGCAAAACAAAAGACTTTGCTTGGATCGAAATAAAGTGGTGTAAATGAATATGCAACAAATGATATAAACTTACTTTTTTTTTTTTTTTCATTTCCTTTCACCCAAATTCAAGCATCTTGATACAGCCAAAGAGTAACAGTTAATAAACTCATATCCACAACTTGCTTCACCATAGAGTAGTTTACATCCCTTGACGGCAGTTTTCTTTAATTAACTTGGAATACAAAACATAATACACACACACATACATCCATAATATATATATAAGTGATTCCACAATCAGGATGGCGTCCCATAGATTTCCTTCTATCAGGAATATAAGCTTTTGGCAGACAACGGGCATCCATGCGCACTTATAAGGTCTGAATCCTTCTAAGCATAAGGTCATCCTCCTCCTGAGATACATTAAACAAGATTCTACAAATCAGACAATTTACATGATAACAAAAACAAACTTATATTTCATATATATATATATATATATATATATATATATATAGAGAGAGAGAGAGAGAGAGAGAGAGAGAGACTTTTGCGCTTCTAGAAGAAAAATGATTTTTCAACAACAACAATAATATCAAGTCTTTATCACACTAAGGCTTCGTTTGGGACGGCATTATCATTGTTTTCTAAAACGGAGTTTTAGTACAAAAATAAAAAAATTGTATTAAAACTCCGTTTTAGAAAGCAATAAAAAAGCCATCCCAAACGAAGCCTAAATGGGGTCAACGACATGAATCTGTTTTCTCTAGTGTGTCCTAGGAAGAGTCAAACTATTTTTGTATTTGTAGTTTTATATAATTTTTAAATACAAGATCACACCATCAATTGATATCTACAACATGAGAATTATAACTGGGTCAAGTTTCATCAAATATTGTGAGGATTTAATCATTCATAAACAATGTGAAAAATGCAGTGATGATTAAATGATATAGAAAAACCGTTTATATGTCTAGCTTTATTCATGCATTTCACAAATAAAAAACTATTCAATACATGCAAAATAAAATTAAGAACCCATGAATTTGATTCCAAGCAATTTGAAGGTGTCAACACTTTGAAATAGCAATAATGTTATCATGCAATTAGATTTGCTGATTATGAAAACTGCCATCATCTCATCAAAAAAGATATAAATTATGCCAATGTATGCTTATATTTCATAATATATATAGAGCCACACAGGATATTGGCAATAATATTCAAAAGTCTTCACCAACTGAACTATATGATGCACACACCCTCACCACTTATCCTCACACTTCTTTCATCATCCATAAAAAATATTAAATGTCTATAAGAGGATAAATATTCCATCAGTAAAGTGACACGCAAGCTTATAGGCATTTTGAAGGGCAAATCTCACAATTTAAAAATTATGTAAAGTAAAAATAAAGATTAGACGTGCTTTTTTAAAGTAATAATCAAAGAATATATTAGATGATGTCATATTAACATTCTATTGTACTAAGAAGAAACACCTTGACATACCTATGGAATAAAAAATTACATAAGACAAAGTGATAAGTAATAAATTGTATAAAATAGAATTGAAATGCAAAAATCAACATGGCAAAATAACATATGATATAAGAATTGAGTAAAAAAAGCATATAACATCAAGCTCAACTACAAGTTCATTCCCAATTTTGTACTCACCAATATTTAATTTCTAAAGACAACAATAATTATATGACAAAAACTTAAAAGTAATCTGTGATGTCATCACTCAAGGGGGGTATTAATTTGAGTTGTCATCATAAAGAATAGTTTTCTCTATAGACTCATCACTTATAGAGTTCAAAGTCTCTCAATCTGCATCTTCCTCGCCAACTCACTCATCCACCCCTTTCTTGAACACTAGCAATCAACTGAAAGATGAGAGTAATAATCTAAATATAAGGAAACTTTTATAAAATTAAATTCATTTTTATATTAGGATTTTTTTTTTGAGGACTTTCTCATCGGTGCTTAAAGTCAAGAATGATTATATATAAATTTGATGATCTTATTGGTTTAGTTGGTACATTCTTACACTATAGAAACTCTTCAAGCTTCTCAAGCATCAGATCCATGCAATGTGCGATCATAGTGCCCAATATAAGTGCCACCATGTCTCCATTAATTTTGAGCCTGTTGCCTTGTAAACTCTAGTGTTATTTGTCATTATTTGAACCAACCAGTGCTTCCATATCTCTTTAACAACGCCATCAAGTAATCCCTAAAGATACTCAAGATCCTTCACTTGATCATATACCTTAATGGACTTCAAGAAAAATGTGTCATATGAATTATTTATTATTATATTAATCAATTTTATTTGTTTTTTTATATTTGACCATCCATTAGACATAATAGTAACACCTGCCTAGCTCCAAGCCTCTTAATTTCTTCAATGTTTTTTTAGCATTGGTCAGGTCCTCCTTCAAAACCCATGTTTTCAAATCATACATGGACGGAGGTTTCATGCCTTGCCCATAAGCTCTGATGGAATGGATCATATTAAAATAGGAATGGGAGGATGAAACATTAAATGGGATAGCAATCTGTTAAAAGAATCTATTTAAATCCATACATACATGTGTGTGACTCCCTAATAGTCTCTGGGGACAACTTCTGTAATGTACAAGGTCTATCTCCTTATATATCAGTCTCCAGGTTCACTAATGTACGAATTTATGGAACCCTTTGCACCCTACTGGGACATGAGCGGCAATGACGATGATGAATACAGCTTCTATGCTTGCTCTCATAGTACGAGCTAACATCAAACAATCACCGTGCAAGATTCTTCAACATTGATGACTTAGTGGTGTATGATTTGATTTCTTTCTTAATCATTTTTGACATTTTAGCATACTCTTCTAGAGCTCAATAGGTGTTTCTTTATCCTTACACCACCTTTCACCACCTTGTCATAATAACTATATTTTAAATAAATATAAATTTCATCACTGCCTTGCCTTCTACATCAATTTATATACTATGTTTCTACACAGAATCCTTCCCATGACCTGACGTAAATTTTTCTTTACCTAATCATTCTCTATGAAAGCCTAGAATAGAACAATTGATTCAAACTTGAAAACAATACAACATGTAAATAATGAAACAACTAAACTTAGCCGTGTAATTTAAATTAAGTAATTCAAACAAAAAAGTTTAGGGTTTAAAAATTTCATGTCAAAAATTTTGAAATAGATGGAGAAATACTAGTGTAGGAAAGAAAGTAGAGTAATAGGAAGAGTAGAGAGAGATAGCAGTAGCAAAAACGAGGCCCGCACCTCATTAGAATGACTCGAGGCATGTTCCTCGAGGCATTTTTTACTATATAATTGTGCTAAGGCACACCTTGTACAATGAAATGTTAACCAATATTTTTTTTTATTTATTTACAAAAAAAGACTTTAAATCTAGCCAAATCCTTTATATGCCTCTCTCGCCCCTTTCCCATCTCGATCTCCTTCTCTACCAGTCTCTCACCCACATGCCTTTATCTCTCCATCTTCCCCTCATGCACATGATCACTCTCATAATCTCTCTATAATCCAAGCTCACCTATCTCAATCTCCCTCTGATGCATCTTGAAAGTAAAAACAACAAATTAGAGAAAAAGAAAATGCAAGAAAACAAATATTGGGACTGATGTTTGGATTATCTCTTCAATAGTAAATAAAGATACAAGTGATCAACTATTCGAAAGCTAGATCAGCTCTCCCACAAACACTAGACGCCGCTAGGAAACTCACAACAAACCCTAAAATAAACTTCAACAAACCCTAAAATAAACTTCAACAAAATATAAGATCCAAACCCTAGACAAAACTCACCCTTAAATAATCCTAAAACATAATACACACAATTAAACCCATCCTAACTGCATAAACACAACTGCAAAAATGTCTCAGAAGGGATTTCACTAGCTTTATTGATATCACCCTCAGCATCAATCAAGTGAGAATTATCTCTACACATCAACTCTCAGAATCCTCAAAGCACTATCCGCTACACAGCTAGATGCACATAAAAGCCTCTAGAAGCATGGCCTCTAAATCCTCAGCACAGACATGCTCATTTGCGGCAACAACATCCAGTTCAGTAAACCAAATAGGAAGTCCAAGTATGGCCAACTTATCCAGTACATCACACACAATGTCCTATTGGATTATTAATATATCCTTGTAGACCGATTCTTCTATAGGTGCGCCATGTTCTTGCAAATCAAGGATATGATGAATAAACATCTCTGGAAAGGCCTTTGCATCACAACCATCTTCGATGTTGTAATCAGTAACAAAAAGCGTGGCTGAAGGATATAGTTTGTGTGCTTCTTCAAACATATAGATCCTGATATTTTCCCAAATCCTATCTTTATAGGACCCCTTACGTATTTCATTGTTCACACCATAATGCCTAAATTTACCTTAATATATGGAGAGAAGACTTCTAACACGATTCTAAACAACCCTCATCAGATCATTTTTTGTCTAGGGATTTAACCCAATGTTGATAAGCATCTTCGACCTCCAAAAATATGCAATGACCTCTGATCTCCATTCCATGTTTCTTGCAGAAATCAAGCCTCTCGAGAGCATCCCTATAATTGTATCTTCCTTATTCAGGTTCTCTATGATACTACTTTGTTGACCTGTAATTAGCAAAAACAAAAAAAAAAAGAAAAAAAAAAAATCGATCAAATCTTACCTACTCCCTGCAGCCCCACGTCGCGCCTCGCACGACTTCCTCTGTCGTCGCCACTCCTCGCACGACTCGACGTCGCATCCACCACGACGCTGCACGACGAGCCCGCGTCGTTAAAAGGGGAAAGGGATCGAGGCCTTCGGCCTCTTCCCCGCTCATTCTTCTCTACGAAAATCCTCCCGAGCCCGTTCTCCCCCTGCGCTCCCGCTCTCTCTTCTTCCTAGACGGATCGGAAGTTGCGACAGTTTGATCGGAAGCCACAAGGGAGCTCGATCGCTGCTTCGACTCCCTCTGGTTGTTCGACTGCGCCCCTTCCCCGACTTTCCCTTCCGA